ACGTTACCGCTTCACTTACGTTACCGCTTCACACACATTACCGCTTCACACACGTTACCGCTTGGCCCCCCCCGCAGGTGCAAAGGAGCAACGACAAAATTTCCGCGGAGGGACAAATGAATGATATTTTAAATTGCCTGAGCGCGTTGATCTGCCATGAGAAGAACTCTTTGTGGAGTAACCTGTACTCGCAGGACAAGGACAACACGGGCAAGGTCCACATAAACATATGGAGGTAAGGTGATGGAGGGAGGACCGGCGTGGTGGTGTCGCCACCGCCCCACTGCGCATTGGTCGGTCATCGCTTCATCGGCTCATCAATTAATTCGTTTATCGGTTCATGCGTACATCGGTTCGCCACACACACCCCCACAGGGAGGAGCTGGAAAAGCTGAGTAGGACGAAGAAGGTGCCATGGATATACCTGTGCAAGAAACTCAAAATGATCGAAGGCAACCAGGTGCACTACAACAGCATACTTAACAGATTCAAGATTAATTATGAACCGAGCCAGAACTTCCTCAACACAGAATGGAAGAGTGAGTGCTTCGAGCATTTGTATGAGGCGTTGCTAAAGGCAGACTTGAGTTTACGTGAAACCCTCATGGTGTTTGATAAAAATTTGGACGGGAAGGTTTCCTTTGCAGAGTTCGAACAGGTGCTCAAGGACCTCAACATAGGTAAGTGGCGTTTAACATGCGCAAGGGGGGGTTTATATATATAATTCACCTATGGTTAAAGCCGAACTGGGTTTATCCCGCACACCTACTTGTGGTATAAATCGACCATTGTAAACAGAGCGCCGTGTAAACAGACATTTGTGTCGTTACCGTTTTGCCTCATTTCCTCCTCCTACACGTTGCACCCCCCCCATGTAGACCTGTCGAATGAGCAGATCCGCATCCTTGTACGGTTGATAAACAGCAACTCGCTGTGCAAGAAGGAGAACGCACAAGAGAATGACAAAATCGACGTGGCAGAATTCATTGGCAAAATGAGAGTATGTTATCGACTAGCCATAAATAAAGAGTACACAAACAACGATAAAATTAGCAAATTAATTGAAGCGATCGGGAAACATATCCTGGCCGACAGTGCGGACACAGCTAATTTTCATTACAAGTTTTATGAGGAAAATAATGAGAGGGGTGGATCGGAGAGGAGGAAGAGGTCCAGTGTGGTCAAATCCGTTGCCCTGTTTCAGAAGTTTAAAAATTACGACAATTTTGGAAATGGTGAGTCAGCCAAAAAAAAAAAAAAAAAAAAGATGTGCACACACGCACGCACACACACACGCACACACACACGCACACACACACACACACACACACAGTGAAAAGTGCGTCTTTTACAACACTGCTGCTGCTGACCCCTTCACAGGCTACCTCGATTATGAAGACTTCGTGCGGGCGATCAAAAACTTTGACATGAACAAGATCAGCAAGGAGGTGGAGTTCGACGTGGACGACGAAATTTTGATGGAGGTACGTGTCTGCATGGTTGCCTGCTGCCATGTTGCTGTGGCGTCCGTTCGTTTATTTATATATATTTTATTTATATCCCCATTTGTTGCTTTATATATATATATATATATATATATATAT